AGCATAATGTTCTCCAGAGTCAACCATTTTGAATAATATTGCATGAGTTCCTTGTTTTTTAATGCAGCATAGTATTCCATTGTGCGAATGTACCACAGCTTCTCTAGCCATTCGTTTGTTGATGGGCACTTAGGTTGTTTCCAACTCCTTGCTATTGTGAACAAAGCTGCAATGAACATGGGTGTGCATATATCTGCTTGGATGTCAGCTATGGTCTCTTCAGGGTATATTCCCAGTAGTGGAATTGCTGGGTCAAATGGTATCTCTATTTGCAACTTTTTGAGAAAGCGCCATACTGCTTTCCACAGGGGTTGCACCATTTTACACTCCCACCAACAGTGAATCAGGGTTCCAGTTTCTCCACAACCTCGCCAGCATTTGTTGCTTGCTGTTCTGTTAAATTTTGCTATTTTGACTGGGGTGATCGCCTGACTGGTATTAAGACTATTGATGTAGACCTTAATAAGATGAAATCATTGACAACTTCAATCCTTCTCATCTATCATGATATTGCCTCTTGGCCAACTGGTGAAGATTTTTGTCTTCTTAATGTTGAGATGCAATCTATGTTGAAGGCTATAATCCTTAATCTTCTGCAGCAAGTGTTTGTAGCCTTCACTTTCAGCAAGTTAAAACTACTGTTATTTGGGTTGGGTGGGGAGAAAAGTGCAACAATGAATGGAAATCCAAAGTCTCTGTTAATTTCATTGAAATTAATAATAAATTTTAAAAAACTACTATTATTCAATTAAATACACCAACAACTAAAACCAAAGAAGAAACTGAAGTTTACCAATGTTTGCAGACTGAAATTGACCATTTATTCAAGCTATATTAATAATTATTGGTGATTGGAAGGGAAAACTCAGAAGCAATGAGGAAGCAAAGTACAATGTTGCTCTACTTCATTGGTGACAGAAATAAAGCTGAATATTGAATCAATTTTGTACTTTCAATGGTTTCTTCATAGCAAATACCTTTCTAAAAATCACAAAAGGCAACTTTACATATGGACATCACCTGATGGACAGCATAGGAATCAGATTGACGAAATCTGTGGAAGGAACCTTTGGAGAGGCTCATTATCAGAAATCAAAACTAGACCAGGTGCTGTCTATGGAAATTACTCAAGTGCAAATTCAAATTAAAGCTGAAAAAAATAAGTCTAAAAGAATGTAAACATCAGAGGAGCCAGGGAATGACATCAAGAGTATCATCCATGAAGAGAGGAAAAGACTGGGGAGAAGGAAAAAACCAAAATGACTGTCAGAAGAGACTATAAAAATTGTGTTAGAGCATCACGACCCCAAAACAAAGGGAAGAGATGCCAAAATAAAAGAGCTGAACAAAAGATTTCAAAGGGAAGATCAAGAAGACAAAATGTTAGAATGAAATGTTCAAAGAGGTGGAGTCAGAGAATAAAATGGCAAGAACTCATTCTACATTTCTAAAGCTAAAACTGAAAAAGAAATTAAAAATGCAATACTGAAAGATGCTATGGGCTAACTCTTCAATGTTCCAGGAAACATCAAAAGAAGATGGAAGGGGGAAAAAGAAGATGGAAGGAATACAGAGTCATTGCAACAAAAATAATTAGTCAATACTCAGATATTCCAGGAAGTACCATATGAACAAGAGAAAATGGTAATAAAGGAAGAGGTCCAAGCTGCATTGAAGGTATTGGCAAAAAAAAATATAAGGCCCCCAGAATTGAGGATATATAAATTAACATGTTTCAGCTAACAGGTGGCAACCCTGGACGTGTTCACCAGTTTATGCCAAGAAGTTTGGAGGGCATCTGCCTGGCTGATTGTCAATATTATGGTCTTGGAAGCCCAATGGTTCAATTCTACCAGGTCCTGTAGAATCACTATGAATCAGAATTGCCTAAACTGTAGTGGATGAGATAATAGTCCTGTCAGAACTGAAGAGTCATCAAAGTCAGATATGTCAAGGAAGTGTTTATGGAATTGTTCTGACACCTTTTCTGTCTTTTAGGTTGTAGGAGAGATTCAAGTTTGTATGAATGGAGGAAGTGTGGAAGATTAAGAGCTAGAGTTAATGCAGATTTCGGTGCCTCCTTTTCATCTCCTAGGGTGGTGGTTCTCACCAGTGCTCCCAAGACTAACAACATCACCTGCAGCTTGTTAGAAATGCACCTTCTCAGGTTCAACAATGCTTGCTTTTAAAAGCCCTTTGGTGGCTTTGCTAGACCAATAATACTATGCCCGAATGATCAGTAACTGAAGAGAAATCTAGCACCCCAGAGAGAGGCTTCTGCGAGGTGCCAGTGGGACTACATAAAGGGAGCATTTTATTTTTCCCATATGATGTGTGAGATCTTTTATTTATGTAACCTATTTAGTTTTCTTATTAAATACTCATCTGGAGCTATGGTGGCTTGGTGGTAAAGAATTGGACTACCAGTTCAAAGGTACACGGTTCAAATCCATCAGTTGCTCAACAGGAGACAAATGATTATTCTCCTGTGTTGTTTACTGCCTTTGAAAACCCATTGGAGTGTCAACTATAGATTTTTACGTCATCGTACAGAACAATTTAGTTTTGTTTGCACTAAGATAGCTAATACTAGATGGATCTTGGCTGAAATCAGAGAGCATCAGAGGAATGTCTGTGTTTCACTAACTATGCAAAGATATTTTGCAACTAACTGTGACTAACTGTAAGAAGAATGGGGATCCTAGAACACTTGATTGTGCTTACATGAAACCTATCCTTGGCCTAGGAGGCAGTCATTAGGACAGAGCAAAGAAACACCCTATGGTTTAAAATTGGCAAGGGTGGATGTGAGGGATGTATCCTATCTCCATGCCTTTTCAATCTACATGCAGAACAGATCATCCAGGAGGCTGGGCTCTATGAGGAAGAGTGTGGCGTCAGGATTGGAGGAAGACTCATCAACAACCTGTGTTAGGCAGAAAACACAATCTTGCTTGCTGAAACTAAGGAAGACCTGAAACATTTGCTGCAGGAGGTCAAGGTCTGTAATCTTCAATATGGATTGATGCTTAACATTAAGAAGACATTCACCACTGGGCTGAATGGAAGTGTCATGATAGATGAAGAGACTGAGATTGTTAACAGCTTTAATTTGCTTGGCCCCACCATCAACACTCTTGGTACCAGCAGCCAAGAAATAAAAAGATGAATTGCATTGGGAAAGTCTGCTGTCAGGGACATCTCCAAAATACTGAAGAGAAATTATGTCATTCTGGATACTAAGGTGTGCCTGATCCAGGCCATCGTCTTCATAGTTACATGCTATGCATCAGAAAGCTGGACAATCACTAGGGATAATAGAGTAAGAATTGATGCCTCTGAGCTGTGATGCTGGATAAGAGTATTGAATATACCGTGGACTGCTAGGAGAACAAACAGGTTCATCTTAAACAGGGTGACACCAGGCTACTCCTTGCAGGCAAGGATTCTGAACTTCTATCTGACATACTTTGTTATGAGAAGGGACCAGTCCTCGGAAAGGGACATTATGCTTTGGAGGGTGAAAGGACAGCGCAGGAGAGGAAGACCCTCAATGAGATGGATTAATTCAGTGACTAGGGTAATAGAAGTGGGTGTGTGAGAGACAGTAAAGTTGGCTCAGTATAAAGCAGGATTCAGAGATGTACATAGGTTTGCTATGAGTCACAGATGACTTGATGGCACAAAACAGCAAGAAAAATAAGAATACTGACTACTAAATCTTGAATAAAATCTCCATACTCGAATACATGCAAGTACATTAATACAATTTGTTTTTCAGACTAGTTTGATAATGCTGCATACTGTTGAATCAGAACCAACCCTTTGCTGACCTTCCAGAGGGTTTTCAGGTGCAGTATATCACACAGAAGTATATCTTTCTCATGTTGAGCAGCTATATTGGCAGTGTAATTCCTTACTGCTAAGCCACCAGAGCTCCTCCCATAATATTGGTCAAATTTCATTTACTAAAAACACGAGGAAGTAATTGATCTAAATAAAACAGTAAGGCATATTTTCTATTCTTCAAATCAGCTACAAAGGAATTGTTATTGTTGTTAGGTCTTGTTGAGTATGACTCATAGCTATCCTATGAACAAAATATCTGAACCTTGTTCTCTCTTGTGCTGTCTTCACACTTCCTGACACACAAGAGCCCACTGCAGCAGGTCACTATCTCAATTCACCTGGTTGAGGATCTTCCTCTTTTTTGCTGATCCTCCACCCTTCCCAGTATCATGCTCTTTTCGATTAGCCCCTCCTAGCAATGTGCCCAAAGTATGTGAGGTGAAGCCTCACCATTCTTGCTTCCAAAGAGCATCTGGCTGCACCCTCTCCAAAATATATCTGTTCTCTTGGCTGTCCATGGGATGTTCAGTGCCCTTCTCCCACACCACAGCTCAAAAGCATCAATTCTTTTCCTCTCATCCTTATTCATTGCCAGCTCTCAGATGCATATGTTATTGTTGTGTACCATATAGAGTCAGAACCAATCCATAGTTGACCCTCTGGTGGTTTTTCAGAGGCAATTAATCGCTCAAGAGATTGCCCATCCTTCTCATGTAGAGCAGCTGGTGGCCTCGAACTGCATGCCTTCAGGAGTGCAGCGCAGCTTCTAGCACTAGGCTACCAGATGCATATACAAAGGAGTAATTTCCTTTAATAATAATTTCTTGTATTTATCTGCAATTAAGCTTGCCTCTCTACCCCTATGTGATTCTAAAAAACCAAACTAGGCTAAATGCTGCCTAATATGTACATTTTTGGTATAGATTTGGAAAACAGAATTCACCCTATATACCATAATAGTTTAGAAATGAGATTAGTCCAGGTTATAATTTTGTCTCTGACCCTTACTTTCTGTGTACTTTGAGTAAAATCTCCTTTAACCTAATTTTCTTCATTTTATAAAATGAAGATTAAAGTATGTAAAATAGGACTTAGTTCATGTTATTTTAGCCTCTCCTCCCTAGTTATTTGATCATCTTTTTCTCTTATAGCTGGAAATATTTTCCCATTTTTTAATGAAAGATGGTTGTAGGACCTTGAAATTTGTGTACCAGGAAGGGGCTGTACCTGGTGTAGGTAAGAATGTTTTGTGAGGGTGATGTGGGAACAATTAGTTTAATATTATAGTTATGAATATACTTTACCTTTTATATTTATAAAAATGATTTTTTCCCAGAAACACATAAAATTATATAATGTCTTAAGAAATAGTATAATTTTAACCCAAATGTATTTTAACACTACTAATTTACTATAGTAATTGTAAATGGTATTGAAGGAAGTGGTCCAAGTTGCACTTAAGACATTGGTAAAAGATAAGGTTCCAGGGATTGATGGAACATCAGTTGAAATGTTTCAGTAAGCAGATGCAGCCTGCTTGCTTTCTTCTTTGCTGTCCTTAACTCCCAGAATTCCACCCAGCTATCATCTTACCCATTCTTCTGGGTCATCTCATGCATTCCCTTTCCGGTAGAGCCTTCCCAGCATAGTCCACTACATCAATTCCTATTCCCCAAATCCCTGTCTCATTTCAAGTTTGTATAGAACATACAGAGCTTTGTTATATTCTCTTATCTAATTGCTCATATGTAAGTTTTGCTTCCTGAGCAAAATCTGCAAACTCAGAATTAGTAATTTAACTGCTCTATGGATTTTTCAGTCTCTCACAGTTCTTACCCTAGGGGGAATTACTTCCCTATTTTCATCCCTTGTTCTTAAAAAGAAAGTTAATTCAATAGCTGAAAATTACAGAAAAATAAATACCTACCATCAGAGGGAAAAGGAAAAATGAGCCACAGTTCTACCTACTCAGAGAATCCACTGTTAACTAATTGATGGGTATTCCTTTATAGCCTCTTTGATACAGATGAATGTTTTTAAAATGGGATTCACTTCTAGGAGAGGAGTCCCACCATGTGGAGAATTTTAACTCCTTCCATGGTTTACAGATCTTGTGGTCATCTAGAAAGATATGATTCCCACACAAGTGTTGCCTACAACAACATTTTATTTACCAAGAGAAGAGACAGAACAAGACTAGCTTCAGTGTCATCTTTGGCTTTTGAATCTTGTTCTGCAGCTGATACAAAGTGACGGCCTGCGTACAGTCCTCTTGTGTTTTAGGAGAGAAACATGAAGTTTTCTCTCTCCTGCTGGGAACAGATAGAGATAACAGCACTTGGCTAACCTCACCAGCTTTATGTTTTTGTAGAGAGGTTGACCTGGTGCTGTTGAACTGATACTTTGCTGAGTAGTTCCTGAGGATACCAGTATGAACTTGGGACAAAAGAGTAGGGGTGTGCTGATAGGCTTCCAGCAGCTATGGGAAATGTTTTGGATCAGGGTGCTCTAGAAAGGGCATTTAGTCCATACTCATGTCCCAAGTTCATATATCTGGTCTTAAGCACAAAGTTCATTTGTGTATCACAGGGGAAGGCTGTAAGACTGCACTTTAATCACTCCCACAGTAATGAAGGGAAGAAGTGTGATTTTTCTGGAATTAAAGTAGATATAGTTCCTTAATACTTAAAGTATAACCATAATGTATTTAATAATCACAATTATTGGCATCTTCTCGTAGACAACAAAATTTAAACCATCACCATGTTGAAAACCTCTTACAATAAGGTAAACAAGAAGCAAGGGTATTAAGCCAGTGGTTTATCACATTATGCCAAGGTTTTGACTTTTCTTTTTAGAATGTGGTCGAACGTTTCCTGGAGTACCCAAAGGATCAAAAATGATGAGATTGTTTGTAGACAGTACAGCCCCGGACAAAGTAAAAGGCCTGTGTGTATTTTTTGTTCGCTGTCAAAATGATGTTGCTGTAAATACTAAAAATATTCATGAGGTAGGTATAGAGTTTTTTCCTCAAATTGCACATCTTTTTTTTTTTAATGGTTATACATTTCAATGAAAATTTAGAGACTTTGGATTTCATTTTTGCACTTTTCTCCCCTCCCAAACTTCCCCCTTACTACACGACCCTCTTGGAAAAGTAAAAGAAGAATTCTTTCATTGTTTTACAATCCCTTCCCCCAGGTCCACGGTCCACCCCACTATGCAGCCTTTGCTGTGGACTCCTGTCATGACAAAAATACCTAATCACTTATCCGTTTTAAACCGTTTTTTCCCTTATCTGTTTCAATGCAGTATACATTATTAAATCCATCTTTCTCAGTCTCCCTCCAACCCCGATGTCAGTCCTGTTTTCATAGTAGCACTTTTGCTTAACTTTGTTCTCCATTTCTATATATATAGAATGAATTGTGTTTGAAGAAAAAGTTGTATTCATATATTCCTACAAACTCAGGAATAAACTAGAATATAATTTAGAAATCTGTATCTTTAGATGTACTCTGATTCATGGTGACCCCCTGCACAGTGGAACAAAATGCTACCAGGCCCTAGCATATCCCTCTTCTCAGCTATGCATTGAACAGTGTTCCAGTATGATTCATAACATGAATCATAATCATGCTGATTTTTGGCAACAGATTGCCAGACCTTTCTTGCTACTCTTTCCTTTAGAGACAGAGTTTTAAATGAATAAAAAAATCTAACTTCTGAATGGTGTGAAAATAACAATAATAATAACAATAATAATAATAATAATAATAATAATAATAATTTTAATCTTTGGGAACACTACTTTTTTAATAATTACATATGTATATCAATATCAATACCTATCTCTCTATCTCTATCTCTCTATATCTTTATATTGATAAGAGTCTTAGTGTCAGCTAGACTGGCCTCTGGCTTCTTGAGGAGAGGCGAAGATAGAACTCTCTGGGCTCCTGTGGCTTTTTTTCTTGCCACAACTGGGTGTCAGCAGAGCAGACTTGCCAGATGAACTGGGGGTCTCTGGCCCAGAGTTCACCAGCATTTGGGTATGCTGGAATGGTAAAACTCTGGTGTGTCCAACTTGCCATATGGAGGTAACTTGTGGTTGCTGTGAAGCTGAACACTGTGATACTGATGTGTCAAATGTGTTAATGGTTACCCATGGTGGACAGTGTTTGGTGGCGCTCCCTGATTAAAACAAGCTTGAAAGCAGTAGTGGCATCCACTTCTATAATAGCTTGCCTCCGGAAACCCTGTGAGCCTGGAGAAAGGATGATAGTCACACAAGTGTTGAAGACTTTCATTCATAGGGTTGCTTTGAGTTGCCTACGACTCAATGGCACTTAGCAATAACAACAACAATATATTGATAAGAAGTTGTGCTGTTGGTCTAACGGCAAGTCGTTTGAATCCACCAGCTATGCAAGAAAAAGAAAGGGTCTCCTCCCATATGATTTACTGCCTCTGAAAACCTGCTGGAGGGTCAGCTATGATATGAGTTTGTTCAAACTCAACAATACGTGACCGTACACAACAACAACAACTTTCTCTTTACTCACTATTTTAAGTCTTTAATAGTTTTAGAAGGAGAAGAGAGAAATGACTCATAAATCATGGACATTGCATATCCATTTTTGGGCAGGCTGGATGACAGAAGGAGGAAAATTGGGAATTTGAATTAGAGCTGAACTTGTCTCTTAGCTTCATCATTGATTAGCAACATGTCCATTACTGAGAGTCTCCTCCTTTTTAGAATGTAGAAAGCCTCCACATTCTTAAATTGAGAATTACATCATTGTTGTGAGACTAAATTATAATTTTAGAAAATTGTTATTATATTGCCTGACACACACTGTTGTTGTTATGTGCCGTCAAGTCGCTTGTGACTCATAGCGACCCTATGTACAACAGCCCTAAACCCTGCTCTATCCTGTGCCAGTCACACTGCCTCTGACACACCCATCCCGATTACCCCAGTCACTGAAACAACCCACCTCATAGAGGGTCTTCCCCTCCTACGCTGTCCCTCCACCCTCCCAAGCAAGATGTCCCTTCACCAAGGGCCTGTCCCTCCTTACAACATGTCCAGATTTTGTCAGACGAAGCCCCAGAATATTTGCCTCTAAGGAGCAGCCTGGTTTAACCCTCTCCAGGATGAATCTGTTTGTTTTCTTGGCAGTCCATGGTATGTATATTCAATACTCTTCTCCAGAACCATAGCGCAAAGGCATCAATTCTCCTTCTATCCTCCCTAGTCATTGTCCAACTCTCTGATGCATAACAAGTGATTGCAAAGACCATGGCCTGTATCAGGCGCACGTTAATCTCCAGAGAGACACTGTTGCTCTTGAGTACTTTAGAGAGGTCCCTAACAGCAAACTTTTCCATCGCAATACGTTTTTTGATTTCCTGGCTGCTGGTGCCAAGAGTGTTGACCATGGAGCTGAGCAAACTGAAGCTGTGAACAACCTCGATCTCTTCGCCATCCATTCTGATGCTACCAGATGGTCCAGTGGTGAGAATCTTTGTCTTCTTGACATTGAGCCTCAGTCCATACTGAAGGCTGCAGTCCTTAACCCTCTGCAGCAAGTACATAAGGTCCAACTCAGTTTCAGCAAGCAGGGTTATGTCATCTGCGTAACGCAGATTGTTAATAGATCTTCCTCCATTCCTGACGCCACACTTCTCCTCATAGAGCCCAGCCTCTCAGATAATCTGCTCTGCATACAGGTTGAAAAGGTATGGAGATAGGACACATCCCTGGTGTATACCCTTCCCAATTTTGAACCATGCAGTGTTACCCTGCTCTGTTCTGACGACTGCCATTTGGTCCAAGTAGAGGTTTCGCATTAGCACGATTAAATGTTCTGGGATTCCCATTCTTCTGAGTCAGCCACAGTTTGTTATGATCCACAGAGTCAAACGACACACACTAGGTCCTTAACAAATGTTGTTGCTAGGTGCCATTGAGTTGACTATGAATTATAGCAACCCTCCCTGCAAGACAGACTTTTGTTTGTTGTTTTGATAGCCAATGGGATATTACATACTCTTTACCAGCCCCTCAACTGAAAATCATTGATTTTTCTTCTGTTATCCTTATTTATTGGACAATTTCCATATGCATAAGAAGGAAATGAAAATTCCATGGTTTGGATAAAGTGCACCTTATTCTTTAAACAGACATCATTGCTCTTTATTTAGCACTTTGGAGAGGTCCTTAAGAGCAGATTTTCCCAGGGCAACATGTCTTCTGATTTCTTGAGTGCTTTTCCCATGAGAATTGGTGGTTGATTCAAGGAAAAAGAAATTCTTGCCAACTTCAGTATTTTATCATAACGTTGCCTATTGTCCAGTGGTGAGAGTTTTTATTTTCTCAATGTTAAGATGTAATTGAAGACTATAGCCATAAAATTTAAGCAATCCTAGTTAAAATTAACATATGAGTGGTGAGCTTTTCCTGTCACAGATTAATTTTTTGTCCACCCAACATTCTAGACAGAAGGCTAGTTTCATTACTGGTTCCTTGGTGTGATAATTTCCCGCCCCCTGTTTCTTTCTTATGGATAGGGCAACTTTTCCGTTGAGGATTTTATATAGGTTCCAGGCTATATCTCCTGTTTTATGCAGACCTGAAAACTTGGAGCAAAGTGTCTTTTAGATGAACAAATGTTAATGGTGAAAATGTTTGTTGACTTTAGAATTCTAATATATGTAACCACTGAAGTTTCCCTGGTAAATTATAAAATGTATTACTTTTCTAATATCTGAAAAAGACTCAAGCAATATCCACACCTCACTCCATATACAAAAACCAACTCAAGGTGGATCATGGACCTAGGACTAAAACCAAGGACTATAATCTTCATTAAAGAAAAGCTTGGAACAATGCCAGAAGTCCTAATCCAGAACATAAACAGTCTTCCAAGTATCCCGAAAATCCTACAACCAGAAGAAGATAAAATGGATGAATGGGATCTTCTAAGAATCAAATCCCTATGCACATCCAAAAACTTCTCCAGCAGGGTAAAAAGGGAAGCCACAGACTGGGAAAAAGTATTTGGTAATAACCTATCAGATAAGGGACTTATATCTAGAATTTATAAAATAATTGAGCCCTGCAACAAGATGAAGGTAAATAATCCACTAGAAAAATGGGCACAAGATATGAATAGACACTTCACTGAAGAAGACATTCAGATGGCTTACAAGCACATGAAGAAATGTTCAAAATCCCTAGCTCTAAAGAGATGCAAATTAAAACAACTATGAGATAGCATCTCACCCCAGTTAGAACAGCAAAATTTAACAGAACAGCAAGCAACAAATGCTGGTGAGGTTGTGGAAAAACTGGAACCCTTATTCACTGTTGGTGGGAGTGTAAAATTGGTGCAACCACTCTGGAAGGCAGAAGGGCCCTTTCTCAAAAAGTTGCAAATAGAGATACCATTTGACCCAGCAGTTCCACTACTGGGAATATACTCCAAAGAGACCATAACTGACATCCAAGCAGATATACGCACAGCCCTGTTTATCGTGGCTTTGTTCACAATAGCAAGGAGTTGGAAACAACCTAAGTGCCCATCAACAAACGAATGGATAGAGAAGCTGTGGTATATTCACACATAGAATACTACACTGCATTGAAAAACAAGGAACTCATGCAATATTATTTAAAGGGTGATCCTGGAGGACATTATGTTGAGTTAAGTATCTCAGTCACAAAAGGACAAATACTGCATGGTGCCACTGTTGTGAAACAGAACTGACCTTGGGGTTGAGGAAGACTGAGAAAGATGGGTTCGATAATGTATACTGCATTGGAGTAGATGAGGGAGAAAACTGTTTAAGAGAGATATGTGATTAGGTATTTTTGTCATGACAGGAGTCCAGAGTGAAGGCTGCATAGTGGAGTGAAACTTGGGGGAAGGATTGTAAAACAATGAAAGAATTTTTCTTTTACTTTTCCAAGAGAGTAGCGTACTGGGGGGAGGGTTGCGAGGGGAGAAAAGTGCAACACTGAATGAATGGAAATCCAAAGTTTCTGTAAATTTTCATTGAAATTGATAACAAATTTTAAAGAAGCCCTTAAAAATATATTAGTTTTCTTGGGGTTTTTTTGGTAATGTAAAATATTAAAAAGTTTTAAATTTCCAGTTCTTTAATGGGAAAATAACATTTTAACACAACTCTTTCAGGAGGTGCTGTTTACTGTTCTGGATGCAACAGAAGGACTCATCACTGGAATTAGAAATATGCTGTCAGATGTCTTTCTACCAGCTATTCTTGTGACAAATAATTGGGGTGCTTTAAATCAGTCCAAGCAAGGAGAATCTGATAAGCACATTTTCACTGAAACTATCACCAGATACCTTTCATTTTTAGATGGTATGTGTGAACTTTAATTCTGATCAAATTACTAAAAATTTATTAAGCATATTTATTAGAAGATGTATTATTATGCACACCAATGTTTATTGCTGCTTTGTTCACAATAGCAAAGAGTTGGAAACAACCCAAGTGCCCATCAACAAACAATTGGATAGAAAAACTGGTATATTCACACAGTAGAATACTGCACAGCATTGTAAAACAGGGAACTCATGAAATATTATACAAAATGGGTGATCCTGGAGGACATTATGTTGAGTGAAGTATCTCAATCACAAAAGGACAAGTACTGCATAATGCCGCTGTTATTATACAGTACTGACAAGGGAGCTCTGGTGGCCTAGTGGCAAGAAGCTGCACTGCAATCCCAGAGGTTTGTGGTTCAAATCCACCAGGTGCTCCGCTGAAGAAGGGGGGACAATCTCCTCCTGTACCAATCAGATCTGATTTGACAGTACATGCACAAAAAATAATAAAATTAAAAAATATATATAAAAAAACAGTACTGACACTGGGTTTGGGGGGAACTAAGAAAAGAGGGGATAAATAATGCCCACTGCATTAAAAGAGATGAGAGAGAAAATGGTTTAAAAGGGATATATGATTAGGTATTATTTGCATGGCTAGAGTCCAGAGTAAGAGCTGTATTGTAAAGTGGATTAAGGGGAGGATAGTATAACAATGAAAAGAATTTTTTTTTCTTCTCAAAGAGAAAAGCAAACTGGGGGAGGGGAGGAGTGGGCAAGGAGGAAAATGTGCAACAGTGAATGAATGGAAATCCAAGCGCTCTGTAATCTTTCATTAAAATGTCAATTAAAAAAACCCCAACATACCCCTTCCCCCCAAAAAAAGAAGAGGTATTATTACAACTATGTATTAGAGAAAGGAGCTGGTGGCTTAGTTGTAAGAACCTGCATTGCTATTCCAAAGGTAAGCAGTATGAATCCATCAGCTGCTCTGTGGGAGAAGGGTGAGCAGTATCTTCCTGTGTGATTTAATGCCTCAGCTGTGGGTCACTTCTGACTCAATAGCAAACAACAACAATGAGCATTGTTGTTATGGTGCTGTCGAGTCACTTGCGACTCATAGCGACCCTATGTACAATAAGCATTAGAGAGAAAAAAAATTCCATCTTTAAGGAAAATGCACATCAATATAGTCATGAGACCTAGAGGAAAATCATTAGAATTCTCCATTACTGGGGATTTTTTACAATAGTTAAATATGTTATGTATTTTATTTTCAATAATAGCAGGAAGATTCTCTTCCTGTTTGAGTAATGAAAATGGAAATAGTCACTGTAAAACATATTTTTTATTGTCTACTTGAAAAGCATACATTTTATGATTCTGTATTGTTAAGATATATAATTTCATTATATGAGACAGTAAATTAAACTTACCATTGTCAAATCAATTCCAATTCATAGTTTCTCTCAGGTTTCTGAGGCCATAATTTCCCATGAGGGAAGACTGCCCATCTTTCTCCTGCAGATTAGTTAGTGGATTTGAACCACTGACCTTTCAGTTAGTTTATAAAAGATATGAATGTCTGTGGTAATGTAAAATAGGTTATAACCAAGCATCTACTCCCAATACTTTATTGTTTATCCTTTCATAAAAGAGAGAATAAGGACAGACTTAAGAGAAATACTAGATATTAAGCAATGTGCTACCACCCAGGACTCCTTTTTAGATCTTAAAAACATTGATTGTCTCTCTGAAATTCCATATTGACACTTAGCACATTGAAATTAAAGAAATATATCGTTATTTCCCCCCCCCCCTTTTTTAGGTGCTAGAATAAGTATTGAGGGAACAGTTGAATTGAAGACGATAAGCAATATTGATTTTAACAAACTACAGTCTTTTGAAGAAGTGACAGCTGCAGCTAGCAATTCAGAAACTGTTCGTCATTTGGAGGAAGTCCTGATGGTATGGTACAAACAGATTGAACAGGTGAGCAAATACCAAAAATTGTGTTTGAGCCATTGAATATGTAGAAGTAAAGGGAAGTATCTTCTCTGACATTTGTATTAAATCATTGCTCCTTATGGAAGGTTTAAAATAAACTTCAAGATCATTTCTTGCTTTAAGGAAGATACTGTAAGGATATGGGTTGAGGATGAAACAGTGAAAAGTCAGGAATATCAAGCATTTATTCACCATATGTTATTGTTTATTCCCCCATAAAAGAGAGGAAAAGGATACAATGAAGAGAAAATATACATAAGACTAGACATTAAGTAAATGTTTTGATTGATCAATGGCTTGAAGACTGGGCTTATTCATATCAGTCCTGTAATAGCAAGATGGAGTTCCTAGGAGACATGTAAAGTTGTTGACTTGCCGCCTTTGGTTACTTAAGTGATCTGTCCCTGTCAAACTCATTGTGATGGAGTTTGTTCTAACTTATACTGACATTGTAGGACAGAGTAAGCTCTACAGTGTTCCCAACGCTGTAATTCTTTTGGAAGTAGGCTGTTACATCTTTCTACCATGAGGCAGCTGGTAAATTCAAACCAGCAACATTTTGGATAACATTTGAACACGTTAACCACAGCACCACTAGGGGATGTCTGTTAAATGACAATTTCAAAAAATCTTATTCCCTTACTTTCACAGTGGCCCTCCATTGGGCTTCCACTACTGAGTAATATAAAATAGGCTATAATCTCAGTACTTTCTTTTTTGTTTATCCTTCCATAAAAAGAGATAATTGTTATTTTTAAGTACCATCAAGTCACCTGCAACTCATAGCGACCCAATGCACAATATCCTATGCCCTATCCTGAGCCAATCTCACTGTCTCTTACACACCTATCCCCATTATCCAGTCACTGTGTTAGATTTTCTCATCCAGGGTCTTCCTCCCCTGTGCTGTCCCTCTCCCCTTCCAAACATGATGTTCTCCAGGGACGGGCCCCTCTTGACAACATGTCTAAAGTATATGAGACAAAACTTCAAAAATCCTTGCCTCCAATGAGCAACTTGGTTTCACCCTCTCCAGGATAGATTTGTTCTCTTGGCAGTCCATGGTATATTCAATACTCTACTCCAGTACCACAACTCAAATGACATCCATTCTTCTTCTGCCATCCTTAATCATTGTCTAGCTCTCTGATGCTTAGCAAGTAATTGTAAAGAGTATGACCTGGATTAGGTAGGTGTACCTTAGTCTTTAGAATGGCATCATTGCTCTTTAGCACTTTTGAGAGGTCCCTGACAACAGATTTCCCTAATGCAGTTTGTCTTCTGATTTCCTGACGACTCATGCCAAAGGTGTTGTTTGGAGAACTGAGCAAACTGAAATTGTTAACAATCTCAATTGCTTCTCCATCTGTCATGGTGCTGCCAATTGACTCAGTGGTGAGAATATTTGTTTTCTTGATGTTGAGCTTCAGTCCATATTGAAGACTGCAGTCCTTGACCTTCAGAAAAAGCTTCAAATCCTTTTTCAGTTTCAGCAAGCAAGGTGTGTCATTTGCTTAATGCAGGTCCTTGATGCATCTTACTCCAATCCTGATGCCACATTCTTCCTGATAAACTCCAGCTTCCTGAGTGATCTAGTCTGCATAGAGATTGAAAAGGTATGGAGACAGGATGCATTCTTGATGCACTTGTTTCCTGATTTTGAACTAGGCTGTGTTCCCTCCCTCTATTCTAATGAGTGTTTCCTGGTGGAACAGAATTAAGAAAAGACCAAAATAGATGTCAGAAGAGACTCTGGATATTGCACCAGAGTGCTGAGAAGCCAAAGCAAAGGGAAGAAAACAAGAATTTAAGAAGCTGAATATAAGATTTCAAAGAGCAGCATGGGAAAACAAAATAGTATAATGAAATGTGCAGAGAACAGGAGTCTGAATATCAAAAGGACTTGCTCAGCATTTCTTAAGCTGAAGAAACTAAAAAATAAACTCAAGCCTTGAGTTGCAATACTTAAAGATGTTATGGGCAGAATACTGAATGATACAGGAAGCATTAAAAGAAGTCAAAAGGAGTGTACAGAGTCACTATACCAAAAAGAATTGACTAATACAGAATAAATAAAAAGCATATGACCAAGAAACAATTGATAATTGAGGAAGTTCAGCCTTCTCTGAAAGAACTGGCAAAAAATAAAGCCCAGGATTTGATGGAATACCACTTGATATAGTTCAGCAAACAAAGCTGTTCAACAAACAGATGCTGCTCTGGACATGGTCATCAGGTTGTGCCAAGAAATCTGGAGGACAACTACATGGCCAGATGACTGGAAGAGATCCATATGTATTTCCATTCCAAAAAAAAGGTAACCTGACTTAGTATGGAAATTATTGTACATTATCACACACAAGCAAGATTCTGCTGAAGATTATCCAAAAACGGCTGGAACAGCATATCAGCAGAGAATTGCCAAAAGTCCAGACTGGGTTTAAAAGGGGTCATAGTACTAGGGATATTGTAGCTAATGTTAGATGGATCTTAGCTGAAAACAGGGAATACCAGAGGAATGTCTACCTGTGTTTCATTGATTATGCAAAGGTGTTTGTGTAGATCATAACAAACTGTGGCTGACTTTGAGAAGAATGGGAATCCCAGAACACTTGATTGTGCTAATGCAAAACCTATGCTTGGACCAGGAGGCAGTCGTCAGAACAGAGCAAAGAAACAGTGCATGGTTCAAAATTGGGAAGGGTGTACACCAGGTATGTGTTCTATCTCCATGCCTTTTCAACCTAAATGCAGAACAGATTATCCAGGAGTCTGGGCTCTATGAGGAGAATGTGGCATCAAGACTGATGGAAGATCCATCAACAATCTGTTATGCAGATGACACAACCCTGCTTGCTGAAACTGAGGAGGACCTGAAGCACTTGCTGCAGAGGGTCAAAGACTGCAGCCTTCAATATGGATTGAGGCTCAATATCAAGAAAACAAAGATTCTCACCACTGGGCCGATTGGCAACATCAGGATGGATGGTGAAGAGACTGAGATTGTTCACAGCTTTAGTTTGCTTGGCTCCACAGTCAACAATCTTGGCATCAGTAGCCAGGAAATTAAAAGGCATATTGTGATGGGAAAGTCTGTGGTTAGGGACCTCTCCAAAGTACTGAACAGCAATGGTGTCACTCAGGAGACTAAGGTGTGCCTGACACAGGCCATGGTCTTTGCAATCACTTGTTATGCATAACAGAGATGGACAATAACAAGGGATGATAGAAGGAGAATTGATGCCTTTGAGCTGTGGTGTTGGAGAAGAGTATTGAATATACCATGGACTGATAAGGAAATGAACAGGTTTGTACTGGAAAGAGTGAAGCCAGGCTGCTCCTTGGAGGCAAGGATGCTGATGTCTGACATACTTTGGATGTGTTGCAAGGAGGGATCAGTCCTTGGAGAGGGACATTATACTTGGGAGGGTGGAGGGATGTTGTGGGAGGGCAAGGCCCTCTATGAGGTGGATTGATTCAGTGACTGGGGTAATGGGGGTAGATGTGTCGGAGACAGTAAGATGGGCAGAGGACAGAGCAGCGTTTAGGGCTGTTGTACATAGGGTCGCTATGAGTCGCAGGCGACTTGATGGCACATAACAACAACAACAACAACTGGTGGTTTAGTGGTAAGAAATTGCACTGCAATCTCAGAGATACTTGGTTCGAATCCACCAGAAGCTCTGCTGGAAAAGGAGCAATCTTCTCCTGTACCAGTCAAATCCCATTTGATGGCACACACACAAATAAAAAATAAACAAAAACCCCATGTTACCTTTGAATGGGTTGGCCCATGTAATAAAAAGATACTTGATTATCTTACAAAGAATTAAATAATTAAAAAAAATTCTGTTTTCCAGAGGCACACAGTTCGAATCCAGCGGATGCTCTGCCAGGGAAGGAGGGACAATCTCCTCCTGTACCAGTCAGATCTGATTTGACGGTACACACACCCAAAAATAATAATTAAAAAAAAATTCTGTTTTAAAAAGTGAAGAGACAAACCACAGACTGAGAGCAAAATATTTTCAGGATTTGTATCTGACAAAGACTATTGTATCTATCATGTATCTTGGAATCTATAAAGATTTGCAATAAATAATAACAATCCCATTTCTTTCACCCACATTGAGAGATCACTAAAATGGCTAAAGTGAAAAAGAGCATAATTGTCACGTATGAGTGAGTATATGGAGAACTGAAATCTCCTACATTTTTTCCTATTGCCGTTGGGATTGTAGCATGGTTGAATCATTGTTCAGCGTAACCTGCGCTGTTGGGCTGCTGAATCTTGTGCCATTGGCGTGTCCTATGCCATAATGGTTACATTTGGTGGACAGTGTTGGGTGGGGCAGGTTTGGAAGACAGGTTTAGAAGCAGGAGTGGCATCCACTTACAAAACAACATGCCTCTGGAAACTCTGAACTTTGAGAAATGATAGTTATCGAAAGGCTTCAGGTCTTCTGTTCATAGGATCACTGTGACTCATGTTTGACCCAACGATAATCAATAACAACAACATGATACTGCAATTTGTCTCTTAGTCATATAGACCCAATTAAAAAAAATTGTCTCCTAAAAAGGCTTATGCAATATTATTCATGGGAACCCTATTCATAATTATCAAACACTGGAAGAAATCCAAAAAGAAATAGATAAATTGTGGTATACAGTGGAATATTTTTAATAGTTGTAAGAAAAATACTAGCACACACAATACTATGCATGAATCTTAAAAACTTTTTGAGTGAAAGAAATGGATCTCAAATAACGTGGAGGAAAACAAAAGACTATAAATGAATCAGAACACAAGGTAGGAGTAGTCAGTGTCAAGAAATCTTAAGGAAGGTAGAAAACTCAGAACCACAGAAAAAACAACTAACAGATTAGAGTGCATGAAACAAAATTATGAATCCTTGCTTTCTGAGTTTTATCCCTTGATTAATGGTGCTCTTTGATTTTGTATGGTTGTATGTTTTAAGGGAAAAGTTCAGAGCAGTTTTTACAAAGTCCTGGTTGACTCAATGGCACATGACAGTGACAACAGCATTTTAAGGAATGAGTAATTAATGTTATTATCCAACTTATTGAATACTGCCTGGCTTAAAACCAAGAAAGTTGTTCATCCGGGTTGTAGCCTTTGTCCAGGCCTATTCAAACTGTATGCTAAGCAAATAATTTTAGAAGCTAGCTTTTAAGAATGTGACATCAGGATTTGAGGAAGATTGTTAGGTAGATGACAAAACCCTGCCTGCTAAAAGTGAGGAGGACTTGAAATTCTTGTAGCAGAAGGGAAAAACTAATATTCATTAAGGATTTTACCTCAATATAAAAAAATAAAAATACAACTGAACCAATAAATATGAAAGATGGAGAAAAGATGGAAGTTATATTTTCAAATCATTAGAGGATTTGTAAAGAATTGCTACTGATTTATATATTTAGATCCGGCCGCCTCATTAAATCTGTTTACTTTTATTAATGTCTATGCTTGCCTTTCAATATTTTTTAATCACCTGTTATTACACCATTTTGTTTTTCCATTTCAAATTCTTAACTCTTTTATTTACTTTCCTTTCTGTGTCTGGAGCCTCCATTACTCTGTTATATAGAAGAGGTCCACACACTTGCTTTGCCTGTGGTTTTAAAGTATTTTCTTAAGTTTCACAGAAAATGCCATTAAGTATGATGTTTAATATAGATTTTTGATAGATGTTATTTATAATGATAAAAAAATTCTTCTTGGTTTATTAAGAGTTTGGTTTTCATAAACATTATTCAGTGTTGAATATTACTTATACTTTTGGTTACCTTTTGAAAGGTTCAAGTAATGAGATTTTTGACAAAGAGAAATGTAGTGTTTCTATATTCTTTAAATATTTTTGATTGCAGGTACTTATTGAGAGTGAGCAGATGAGAAAAGAAGCTGATGACTCAGGCCCACTCACGGAATTGGAGCACTGGAAACGCATGTCAGCCAAGTTCAATTATATTATTGAACAGATAAAAGGTCCAAGCTGTAAAGCTGTCATAAACGTGCTCAATGTTGCACATTCAAAATTGTTAAAGGTAAAAGGCCTTTTATTTAAAACTCTGTTGTACATAGAACAGCTAACTAAGGCTCTGATTTAAAATTCCTCTTGTTGAAATGTTTCTTAGTACAATACTCCACACTCATACATGTGGAGGTGTTAAGCTTTCAGTAAGGCTTTCTCATATACTAGAAATATTTCAAGAGTGAAAAGAAGTATAGAAATGAAGATTTATTTCTCAATATTTCATGCACCACTTTTGACAATACTACTTTGGTGTGATTGCCAGAAAAGTGATCATCCCTTCTTTCTAAATTGCTTTTGAAATTATAAATGATCACAGGCTCACTGATATAAAATACTATATATTGTGTCAAAATGAAAACTCCCCTTCAATCATCTATTTCACCTCCACTATTCCACCTGGATTCATCACTGATCAGAACAAGTGTTTGATTTTATCATCTATTGTATGGAAGAATGGCCAGTTTATTAAAAAACTATTTTAACTTATGTCAGCCTTCTATTGTGTTTCCAAGGCTATAAATATTTTTTTTTCTTTTAACATTTTTACTAGTTTGCAAAGACTAATTCACATACATTTTGCCAAGGCTATAAATATTTTTTAACTTTATTTTTTTTAGATTTTTTAAAATGAATATTTTATCATTCATATCCGTTGTGTTTCATACATGTACATTGTGTTTTATACAATCTTTACTTTTTTATGATTATAGATTTTTTTTAAGTAATTAAAAATTTGGAGGATTACAAATCATACTGATTTTTCAAACAAACATTCATTGACATTTTGTTTTATAACATTAATTACCATTTATTAATGTAATTATAGAGAGTTCTGGTGGTCTAGTGGTAGTACCTTGCACTGCAATACTGAAGGCATGTGCTTCAAATCCACCAGCTGTACCACAAGAGAAGGATGGGCAGTCTTCTCCCGTACAGTTAACTGCCTCTAAAAACCCACTGGAGGGTCAGCTATGGGTCAGTTTTCACTCAATGGTACTCAACAACAATAACAATGTAATTATAATGGTTAATTGACCTCTTATTGTGTATTACTTTTCCCTGTGCAAGATTTAAATCTTAATGGAGCAAACAGACTCATTTTTTTCTTTTTCAGAGAGACAGTGGGTTTGAACTTCTGACATTTCCATTAGTAGTTTAACACTTATCACTTCACCAGGGCTTGTTCTAGGAATTGTTAGGTGCCACTGAGTCAACTGGGACTCATCATAACTGCACTATGAACCACCGATAGGAGCCTTGCTCCTGCTTGTACCATCCTTAGTGACCTTTGACATGCTCAAGCCCGTTGTTACAGTCACTGTGCCAGTCATTCTCATTTAAAAGTGTTCTTTCTTTCACTGACCCTCAGCTTTTATCAGCATGATACCATCTTCCAAGGACTGGCTCCTCCTGATAACATGTCCAAAGTATTACACATATGGCAGCTTAAGATCAATTAATTCAGATTTATGAAACTAAAACTGCTATATCTTTATCCAATAGCAATATGTTTAACAGGAAGTTTTATAAAATTTATTAAGTATAAATAAAATAAACTTATTTCTTCAGAAATTTTATTTTCCTACATACTTCCTTATTCTCTTAAGGAGGTTCCCCCCATTCCTACCTACTTTCTTGATTATTTTGTTGCTTCTTATATATCTGAGAGTCAATCAGTGAATCAAGATAACAGAAAAAGAATCAATACCTTTTTTTTCTATAATTATATTTTATTAATTTTCATAAACATTTACAGAGATTTTGGGTTTCCATTCATTCACCGCTGCACCATTCTCTCTACCCTCCTCCCAGTTTGTTCTTGTCCAAATGCCACAGTGCTTGTCAAAGCCAGTTCTGATTAATCTCCTTTGTCAGTGTGTCCTTTGCCATTCCCTATCACTCCTCCCTGAGAGAGACTTCACCCTGAGTCATAAGGAAAAGGGGATGGCGTATTCTCTTAGCTACTTCCTGCTGAAAAGGGACACTGTGGGTTTCAGGGTGAAGATCTTCTCTCACTACTCTAAAGGGCCCCTTTGGCAGTAGGAAACACATAGACTATTATGGAGATTGATTTTGAAATTTAGATGCTCTCTTATTGATTGTGCTTGGCCATACATGTTCATATCCTTGAAGATGTATCATGGGGGAGGGAGGGAACTGTTTAAAAGAGATATATAACTGGGTGTTTCTGTCATCACAGGAGTCTAGAGCGAGGGCTGCATGGTGGAGGGGACCTGGGGGGGGTTTGTGGAACAATGAAAGAATCTTTTCTTTTACTTTTCCATAATTTTTGACTCATGTACTTATAACTTGTTAGTCAAATTTGTGTCTTCTAGAATCAATACCTTTAAGTTGTGGTATTAGAGTATTGAATATCCCTTGGACTACTAAGAGAATAAACACATCTGTCTTAGATGAAGGGCAACCAGGGTGCTTCTTAAAGGCAAGGATAGTGAAACTCAGTCTCATGTCATGAGAGACCATTCCTTGGAAAAAGACATCACATTGGGAAAGCTGGAGAGTCAGAGAAAGAGAGGACTATCTTCAATGAGCTGGATTGACATAGGGACTGTAAAGATGGGCTTGCATAAATCAGAGATAAGATGCTGCAGGATAAGATATGATTCAGATCGGGGGAGCTCTGGTGGCCTAGTGGCAAGGAGCTGCAACTACAATCCCAGAGGCGCACGGTTGGAATCCACCAGATGCTCTGCCGGGGAAGGAGGGACAATCTCCTCCTGTCCCAGTCAGATCTGATTTGACGGTACACACACAAAAATAATAAAATAAAATTTAAAAAAAAGATATGATTCAGATCTATCATTCATAGCGTCATCATGAGTCCTAGTTAACTCAGTGGCATCTAACAACAACATAAACTTCCCTACTCTCTTAAGGAAGTATATATTGTTATGTGCTGTCAAAATGACTTATGATTCAGAGATCCCATGAACACTGGATCTGAATCCTGCTCTATCTTGTATCCTCCTCATCATCTGTGCTATGTTGAGCCCATTGTTACAATCACTGTGTCAATTGATCTTGTTGAGGGTCTTCCTCTCTTACTCTGAACCTTCACCTTTCCAAACATGATGTCTTTCTCCCACACGTCCATAGTGCTTCACCATCCTTACCTCCAAGGAGTACCCTCACTACACTCTGTCCAAGACATATTTGTTCTATTGGTGGTCCATGGGGTAGATATAGAAAAAGAACATTTATTAAGAATAATTAAAAATATTACTATCAAAAACCACATTGACTAATAAATACATAGCACTTTTAGTTTAATGAATCTGACTTAATTGATCTCAGGCTGCCTTATAGAAAATAAATTAGACCAGTGATCAGTGAGCAGATCCTGATTCATGGTGACTCTGGGTGTTTGAGAAATACAGGTTTTAGAAAAAGAGGGATGATTCTTCAGTTTTTCTCAGCATACTTCTATCACACCTTCTTTGCTTTCATTTCTGAGGCATACGTATTTAAAGTTATTTTTATAAAAACAAGTAGATGCCTAAAGGTACAGGAGTCAAAATGGAGACACTGTCGAGAGCCGGTAATATAAAATCACTAATGAAAGGCACAAAGAGTGTATAAATTTAAATAAAAGACTTACTGGTTGATGTGGTTAACTGTTTTCAAATATTTGGAAGACTATTCTGTGTTCTCAAGATGTTCCACTAGGCAACAGTAAAGCAAAAGAATGAGTTTACCGAAGAGAAAGATTTTTTTTTAAATGTGGAAGAACTTTCTCATAATTAGAGTTTTTTAAACATGGAACATCTAATGAACACTTGCCAGAAAAAAAATGTTGATTTCATATCATGTCTACTTATAGAGTTTTTTTTTTCTTGAAACAGTGTTCTATTCTAATAAATTCTTGAAGACCTAGAGTAATAATAATGGCAATAATAGTTAACCTGGAGAGGTTACTAAAGTAGGAGAAGGTCCAGTTCAAACCTTGTGACAGAGGTGAAGATTGTTAAATGCCAATGAAGTATCTCCAACTCATAGAGACCCTTGTTGTTGTTGTGTGCCACTGAGTCGACTGCAGCTCATCGCCAACTCTATGTACAATAGCTCTGAACCTGCCCTATCCTGCATGGAGACCCTGCATTCAACAAAATTAACCCTTGCTGATTCTGGGTGCTGTCCTCATCATTTCTGTGCTTGAGCTCATGGTTGCAGCCATTGTGTCAGTTTCTCTTAATATCTTCTTCTTTTTTCACTTATTTTACTAAGCATGATGTTCTTCTCCAGGATCTAACTTCTCCTCATTAACATGCCTAAAGTACACAAGATAAAGCCTGAATATACTAGCTTCTAGGGAGCATTCTGGCTACATTTTATCCTTGACAATTCTTTTGGAAATCCATGACATAGTCAATATTCCTTGCCAACATGACAATTAAGAGGCATCAGTTTGGTTTCCTTTTTTCCATTGTCCAATATTCATGTGAATGAGAGAGGAGTGAAAATACCATGACTTATGTCAGGTGCACCTGAGATTTCACAGTGACATCTTTGCTCTTTAGTACTTTGAAGATGTTCTTTTGCAGCAGATCTACATAGATTGTTTAAATTTCTTAAATAAATGTTAGCACATTAATCCATTTGGAAGTTTAATAGAATTCTTATACAATTTTTTTAGAATTGGCGTGATTTGGATGCAAGAATCACCGATACAGCAAATGAATCAAAAGACAATGTCAGATATTTGTACACACTGGAAAAAGTATGTCAGCCTCTCTATAATTATGACCTAGTAAGTATGCTTTTAAAATTGTAACTGAAAAAACTTGAAAATAGAAATACCACTTGACCCAGCAATTCCACTATTGGGAATATACCCTAAAAAACCCATAACTACCACCCAAGCAGATATATGCACACCCATGTTTATTGCGGCTTTGTTCACAATAGCAAAGAGTTGGAAATAACCTAAGTTCCAATCAGCAAACGAATGGATAGAGAAGCTATGGTATATTCACACAATGGATTGCTATGCTGCATTGAGAAACAAAGAACTCATGAAATATTACATGAAATGGGTGACCCTGGAGGATATTATGCTGGGTGAAATATCTTAGTCACAAAAGGACAAATATTGCATAGTGCTATGGTTGTAAAACGGGACTCACCAGGGTTGAGGGAAGGCTGAGAAAGAGGGGATAAATAATATATACTACATTGAAACAGATGAGGGAGAGAATTGCTTAAAAGGGATATATGCTTAGGTATTCTTGTCATGACAGCAGTCCAGAATGAAGGCTGCACAGTGGAGTGGACTTGAGGGGAGAGATTGTATAACAATGGTATAATTTTTCTTTTACTTTTCAAAAAGAAGAGCGAATTAGGGGGGAGGGGTGGGCAGGAAAATAAAGTGCAACAATGAATGAATGGAAATCCTAAGTCTCTGTAAAGTTTAATTAGAATTAATAAACAAAGAAAAGGAAAAAAGTGTAACTGTATCATTTTTCTACTGTAATGAATGCATTTTAAAATAACTTGAATATAAATAGAGTGGGGGGGAACTTATACTGCAAAAAAGTTACTAAAAGGATGTTATATATAATATTAATATATAAATATATAATTATATTTAATATTTTAACTTACTTTTGGAACATAGTACTATCATAAGAAGCCTCTTTTCTCAATCAAGCAAAGCAAATGCATTAGTTCTCTAGTGCTGCATAATAAATTACCCCACAGTTGAGTGGCTTCAAACAAAAAAGCCTTTTATTTCATCACCATTTCTGTGGATTAGGAATCTAAGTGTAGCTTAAGTGAATCCTCTTCTTCAAGGTCTCCCATGAGGGTGTGGACCAGTTGTCAGTGGGGCTACAGGCTCATGTGAAGGGTAAATCAAGTGGGGAAGACCTGCTTCCAAGCTCACTCCTGGCTGTTGGCACACCCTAGTCCCTTACCACATGGACCTCTCCACAGGCGGCTCCATTCTTCTAGGAGGAGTGATCCAAGAGAAAAGGAGGGAGGGGGTGATCAAGTTGAAAGCCACAGTCTTTTTAACTTCATCTTTGAAGTAACACCCCATCACTTCCATTGTATTTTCTTCACTTGAAGCAAGTTAATACATTTTGTTTATGTTCAGGAGAACCCAAGAGGCCACTTACCATGGTATAGAGTTACTATTGTGGATATTGTTGTTGTTACATGTTGTTGAGTCCACTTTGACTTTCATGACCCTACGTACAACAGATCAAAACCTTGTCTGATCATGTACCATCCTCAAAATTGGCCGTACTTAAACCCATGTAAAAAGTCACTGTGCCAGTCCCTTCCTTTGTGGGTCTTCCTCCCCTTCTGACTCTGATTTTCCAAGCTTGATATCCTTTCTGAGGATTAGCCTTTTGAAGTATGTGAGATGAAGCTACACCATCTTTGCTTCTAACATATTAGGAAGCCAAAACTCATGGCATGATGGCTTTATCGAAGTTACTCACTCAGGATAGAACTCATCTTTGAATTTCTAGTCTACGGCTTTAAAATTTTCCCTCTAAATAATTCTACAAAAACAAAACAAAACACTTTCCAAACAATCTCATTGCTGTTGAGTCCCATCCAACTCATAGTGACCCTCCGTCAGGCTTTCAAAGCTGTGTATCCTTAAAAGAGGAGACTGCCAGTCTTTCCCAGAGAGCAGTTGGTGAACTTTAACTCATCTTTAGGCTAGCAGCCTGACACATTCTCCATCAAAAGTCCTAATAATTCTACAGTATTCCTTTAACAAGTATGTTGTTATTGATGTTGATATGTGTTGTCAAGTTGGAACTGACTCATAGTTGACCCTCAGTGAGTTTTCAGAGGCAGTTAATTACACAATAGAAGATTACCTATCTTCTTCTATGGAGCAGCTAGTGGATTTGAATTACGTGCCTTTGGGATTACAGCTCAGCTTCTAGGCCACTAGAGCTTTTTAAAGAATAGGTCGATACTACCATTTACTTGTATTACTCTAACCAAAACCAAAAAAGCAACCCCTCTGTAAAAGGAGTAAGGGCCTCAGGATAATGTGAAGAAGGCTGAGTCTGAGCTCTACTAATTTCACAAAAAGAAATTGTCTCTTCTCTATCAATAACATCCACAGTACCAGACTAATAGCTACAAGGTCAGACATGGTACACTCCATTGTGCTGCACTTATTTCTGCTGATTGCTGGGTTCACAATGCATTGCAGATGACCACACAAGCTTTATAGAATCTCTTTTTACTCATAGCTATGGGATTTATTAGGGAAACACATTGGGATGGTGAGGCAAATGATATCACACAGCAATAGCCCAGATTTAGGAAGCCAGGTTAACAACAAGGCACAACACCTCACTTAGTTCTTATAGTTTCTCAGTCAATAGCAAGATACAAAATACAGTTCCTGAATGAATCCAGACAACTTCCAAGTCAACAGAAAGATACCTGTGGAATCAGGAATCTCTGGCCCTAAAAGACACACATGGTTTGCTCTCTCGGTGTCTTCTCCTTTCCTGTTGTTGATGTTCCCATCTCCAGGTTTCTGGTCCTGGCTCTGACTGTTTCTGTCAGGCTATACCTTGCCACAGTCTTGCTATGGTCTAGTTAGTTCTCTTTCTTATGTTGGTTACAAAAATGTTGATGATGCCAATGGGCCACCTGCTTGCAGGACAACTAACTCACATTAAAGCCAATGGTAGGGAAGTAAAATTTTTAGAAAGACCTACTACACTGTAAACCCCCACACACATCCCTTCCCAAAAAATCTCACCAAACCCACTACTCTTGAATTGATTCCAACTTATAGTAACAGAGGACAGAGTAGACCTGCCCCATAGGATTGCCATGGCTTTAAATCTTTACAGAAGCAGAATGCCTTATTTTTCTTTGTGGGTTTTTTCTCTCCTTGTGTCTTCTTCTTTAAGATGAATTTTGGTTAACAGTCAAACATTTAATCTGTTGTGTCTCTAGGGCTTCTTTTTATTTTTTAAAGATTGTGTTAAATTTTAATTCCTAAATTCTCTGGATTGTCATATTTCTTTATGAAAGTTAAAGCATGCCATCTAACCTTTCTTTAGATGTTGATAGGTGTCAGATAGAGTATAACTCATAGTGATGCTATCAACAACAGATCTGAATCCTGCCCTGTACTGTGCCGTCCTCATAATTTTCTTGATGAAGATACATGAACTCATTGTTGCAGGAACTGTGCCAGTCTCCATCTGGTTGAGGGTCTTCCTCTCTTTTGCTGACCCTCCATCTTTCAAACAGGAAATAGCCTCTTCTAGCCACATGCCCAAAATATGTGAATGATGCTTTGCCATCTATGCTTTCAAGAAGCACTCTGGCTGTACTTTCTCCAAGACAAAACTGTTCATTACTTTGTCAGTCCATGGGATATTCTGTACTCTTCTCCTGTACTACAGCTGAAAGACATCAGTTCTTCTTCTGTTATCTTTATTTATTGTTCTGCTCTCAGAGGCATAGCAAGTTATTACTTGCTATGAAAAGACCATACTTTAATCTTCAAACTGGCATCATTGCTCCTCAATAATTTGGAGAGGTCTTTGACTGCACACTTTCCCATTTTATTATGTCTCCTGATTTCCTGACTGCTGGTACCACTGATGTTGATTGTGAATCCAAGTAATGTGAAGTTGTTGACAATTTCAATCTTTTCTCCACCTATCATGTGTTATCTATTGGTCCAGTGGTGAGAATATCTGTTTTCTTAACACTCGGTGTAATCCATATTGGAGACTGTAGGCTTTAATCTTATGCAGGAAATACTTCAAATCTTTCTCACTTTCATCAAGCAAAGTTGTGGAGGGAAAATAATTTGTGTGACACTAATGCAGTGTTTTTCTGGTCTTGGCTCAGCGTCCCTTCTTCAGTAAGCCACTTTTAAGCAGGAGGGCTGCATATAGACTTGAGAATTCTTGACTCATTTTTCTAAGCATTGTGCTACATGCTTTACATAGGTTTCATTCTTTATGAACAATGATCCTCATTTTAAAGATTACACACTGAGCTGGTGCATTTTTTTTTGCATCTCCTAGTGATGGCACTGCATTTGAATTCAGTACTTTGTGACATAGATTGTATTTTCACCCTTCACTTTACTAAATTGCTTCTTCAAGACATTGTTAAAATGATTCCAAGATAATTTATATTTTTTGAAGAGTTAGTCATTCCATTCACATAGGTGGAGTCACCGACCATATGAATGAGTTGACCAGTCTTAGGTTAGGCTAAATGTTGGTTTCATTCTAGAGGCAGGATAAAAGGAGGGGTCTATCTTCTATATCACTTACATGTACAGAAGAGAGAGATGTAACAGCTAAATTGTTATCCATCCCAGGAGGGCATCAGTAGTCAAGGGTTAAAGGGAGGGAAAGATGTGGAATTGAGTGTCTTGAGCAGTGTTGTTCTCACTGCCACATCTATCATCTGTCAAGGCTTCCCATAGGAGAGGTTAGGAAGTCATCAGAGCAGCCTTTTTGTTTATTGATTCCATAAACAGGCGAAGCACTTCAGTTTATCTGAAATTCTTATTATTGTGTTGATTTATTTTTTTTGCAAAGAATTACTACTTTCTGAAATTTTACTGTCTGCTCACTTTGACCCCAACAGTGTAAACTAGACCTGTGTTTCCTTTTGCTTCACATAAAGAAATTTTACATCACTTCTCAGCTTTCTGTGCACGGAACTGTGAGTGGGGATAATGGGGAGGTGGCTTATTTCATTCACTAGCTCAATGCCTTGAACTCTCAGCTT